TTCTCTTTGATCCAAAAAAAAAGTTTTATTTTAAATTTGATTTGTTTAAAAAAAAACAATTAGTTTTAAATTTGATTTATTTCTTGTTTCAAAAAAAATAAAAAAATGAAAAAGAAAATAATAAAAAGAAGAAAAGGAATTAATTTTAAACATTAAGTAAAATAAGACCATTTTAATTAAAATTAAAAAATAATATGCAATTAATTGGTACCATCTTTGAGGGGCATTATGGGGGTGCTAATTCTTTTCCACGCATAATCAACTCTCAAAGTCAACTCTGATTTCGTAAATCGTAAATTTGTTCTTTTTCTAGAAATTTTTAAATTTATTTTAAAATGTTTTATTAAAAAGATAATTTTTTGGATGACAGATCAGACCCTAAAAAATATTAATGATGACTCATTTTATTTTGTTTTTATTGAAATATTTTTAACCCCTTTTTTTTTTTAAATTTTCTCCATTCGTTTAGCTTTTGGTTCAGCTCACACCTGGGTCTCGAGATATCATGACAACCAAGAATGCTCTAGTCGAGTATTGTTGGATATAACATGAGGCATATGACAATGCATAATTAAGATGAGATTCATCACCATGTGTGATCGAGAGAGTATTTCAACTATCTTGATTGAACTCGAGTCTCGAGATATCATGATAACCAAGAATGCTCTAGTTGAGTATTGTTGGGTATAACATGGGCATATGACGATGCATAATTAAGATGGGATTCATCACCTTGTGTGATCAAGAGAGTATCTCAACTAGTCTTGATTGAATTAACTTAAGAAATCTTTGACCAAAGTAAAATGAGAGTTTAGAATTGTTCTAAAGCTTATTTGTGAGCTAATGTCAAGGACAAGACATGATATGGTTAAACAAAATTGAGTAGATGTTAAATCATACTCGATGTTTAAATTGAGATATTATGTGATGAAAGAATATTAATTATATATTAAAACTATTTACGATAGGTTGTCAAGCTATGTTAACTTTTCTTTAGTAATTGGGGGTCATGGTAATGAAGCTAGCATTGATTATGATTTATAAACATAAGATTGGCTAATTTGAGAATTAATGATAAAGACAAAAAGTTTGTTTCATCCATAACCAAATACTTGATTTTATTGCCAATATGCTAAAAAACCTAATGGGTCACACATAATAGAAGAAATATGAAAGATTAAAATTAGGACAAATTAAATTAGACTTAATTTGATTTTGGTATGACTAAAAATAAAGAAAATAAAACAAGAGAAAGAGTTTTCCCTTGTTTTGGTGGATTCGGCTAGCAAGGGTTATTTATGGAAATATGCATTCTATGCATTAAACTTAAGGTTGGTCGAATATTATCCCTATAAAAGGAACATCAATCCATCGCCCTTCTTGTACTATTTTTATAAGCAATTAGCAAGTTTTACTCAAGAAAAAAACAAGTTAAGAGAGTCTAAACAAAACTTGAAAAAATACAAGAGGTCTTGCAAACACTTACTAGGTAAAGTATGATTTTGAGTTCTACCATACCTTAGAGAAGGTTCTTTCACAAGCGTGCGTGTGAATTACCATTAAAGCCTGAACACTTAAGCAGCTTCTTAGCAAAGGAAACCATTTGGAAGGTCACCAAATTAAACCAAAGGAATTTCAGCATTTAAGGTAACAACCTGAGCCAAAATTATTCATACTTTTATATATAGATATATATTGTTTGTATGATCTTGTTAATTAATCTTGGTTTTAGAGAATTAAAAATTTTAAAATTTTATTGCTTTAACTTTGTTTATTGATTCATAATTCCTTTCACATATGTATATGTATATGTACATATGCGATATGATTTGAAAAGTATGTTGGATAGATTATTAGCCTTCTAACAGAGACAATCGCCTCAATGGCTTGGCACCATAGAAATAAGATTCATTTTAAAATATGGATCAAAGGCCAAAGCTTAAAATGAAATCACCTTGATAAAAAATCAAGATGAAGTCTCTTGATATTGAGATTTGTAACCAAAAGTAAATAATCCCACAATTCACTTTGGCTATCTTAAATGCTAGATGGAAGTCTTGTTGACTATGTGAAACCAAGTAAAGTGTGGACTCAAGTTAGATAGTGGAAGTATTTAAACTATCACTTATAAGATATTGATATCTAATAATAAACACATACGTTCCCCTAAGAAAAAGAGAGTGATACCGTAGCATGTGCTTTATACCATATGTGCATAGTTAAACCAACAAGGGTCGCAAAAGAATATATCTCTTCTTCTTGTTGCGAAAGACTCTTAAGATCAGAGAATCTCATATTTAGTACCTTTAAAGACTTTCAATTGTTTCTTAAAGTTTCAATTCAACATTAGCTATCTTAAATTGTTGCCAATGGTCAAGGATGATTCGATCTAATTAGACATATTTGAATAATAATTGAATTGAAAGGAGGATTCTATAAGAAGAAAAGATCATTATGATGTCACATCTGGTTGTATTCATAAGTCAACCAATTATGTTTGAGACGTCGAACATAATTATGATTACACAAGTATATCATGCAATATGATAAAAAAAAAGATTGTCAGGAACTTGAAATATGATTGAATTGATTTAGGGAGTTGTATATTTACTCTACTTATACTTGAGAGTTACTATACATACCTAATAGTTGTATAAGTGACTAGATGTGATTTTAAGCTACTATAATTACCTAATAGTTGTATAGCAACTAAGCTCTTGAAGTATGTTGGTCACATAACTTATTTCTTTGTATGAACCTATTGTAAAGAATAGAAAAAATATTATCTTGATCACGAGAGTTTACCACCTATTTTGTGCGAGTGATATTAAAAAGGCCTGCCTATAAATAGGGCTGACCACATAGAAACTATATGAATGTTTTTTTTTTTTCTAATTGGTAAAAACTAACTAAGGCAATTATATTATTTGAATTAAAAAAATAAGCAAAAACTGCTATGCTCCTTTTGTTTAATTTATGAATATGGCATCTGGCCATATGAGAAGATGATGTAAAAATGTTTGAGACAAGAATATGCCATGGCCTTTTCCTCTCTTAATGAGACATGGCATTCAACCATGATGAGAGAAAAAAGAGAATAAGTTCATCTCAACCAAGTGTGAGATAAGTCTCGTTCATGTAGGACTATGTAATAAGACACAAAGAAAAAAGAGGGATCAGTAGAAAAAAGAAAACTCTTCGAAATAATAGACAATTTTCAAATGCGTAATCTTATTCTTGACTAGTGAATCAAGTTGGCATTGCTTCTACAACACTTTTGCAAATTGATCATATTTGTGCTTCTGTAAATTAAGTAAGTCTTTTGCATTATTTCGATGTTCATCATATTATTACATTATCCTTCACAAGGTCAATACTAAAATGAATTGGTTCATATGATGAGTGTAGGTGATAGGTGTCTCTCACTACAGCAAGACTTTTTTAGCAATGCTTCACATATGTAAATATGGGTAATAATCCCTCTTGGCAAAAAATGACAAATCTTAGTACAATTATCAAGCTTTTTTAGCCCAAACATCAACTTGCTTTTGTTATTATGCCTGATGCTAGGTTAAAAAGCTAGTTGATTGATTTTCTCAAGTTTTTGTACTTAATAGAACGTATTAACCCATAGAGTGTTTGGTATAAGAATAACGTTTGATATTAGATAATTAGTCTAAAAATCTTATGTAATGGTGATTTTAAATTATTGGGATAATAAGATCACTGCCTTGGAGTGATCTTATTCTCAACCTAAAAAGTGAAAAAATTTTAACACCTATGAAAAAATAATTTTTAATATTATTTTCTAACTAATTTACTCTAACGAAAAATGTAGTAACATTGCCTAAAAAGCTAGCTAATAAAAATTTTCAAAATTTAATTTTTCTAATTACTTATTTTTAAAAAGTTTTCTCTTACAATTGAATAAATGTTAATTAATTAGAAAAAAAAATGAATTCATTTAAAAATTTTTTATAAATTATTTTCATCAAAATAATTTTTTATATAATTACATTTAATTATTTTATAAATGATTGATTTAATAAGCATTAAATTTTTTCCTTTTTTTTGCAATATTTTGGATATTTTGTACTTTACAATTTTTCATATAATACCAAACGTAGTGATTTAATATTACTTGTGATTTATAATATTACACTTAATATGATAATTTAAAATATTAACCTTTTTGATTTTATAATCATGGGTATCTTAAAGTAACATTGAACGCTACCAAAACGTTATTGGATATGTCACGAAATTGAGATCTCAACTCTACCCTTATAGAACGTTTTGGTGACATCATTGAATATTGAGTTGAAAACATTCGAAAACATTTTTAAAATTTTTTTTAATTAATTATACTTTTTATATCTGAACTTTGGAATAAACAAGTTTTGCACCATTACCTTTCAAATAATATATTATTTTAATTTAAATTCTAATATTATTAATTTAACTTATCTTTATAATATTTAACTAATATAATTTTATTATATACATATTATTTATTAAATAAAAATAATAAGTATTTTGTAAAACATTTCATGTGAATATCACATAAAGAATAATAATTGATCAATCTCCTAAACAATTTTTAGGCTTCACGTAAAAAATATATTTTTTAATAAATTTTTATTGAAGAAAATATTTATTGTTTGTGTGATGAATAAATAATTTAATAATATATATCAAACACCACACATGATTAATGAGATTAAAATCTATATTAACATAATAAATAATTTAAAAATTCAAAATGCAAATTGTATATTTTATAAAAATTTAAAGTGCATATTTTACATTTTATGTCTATAAAAACCAATATATATATATATATATATATATTTTGTTTTCAAAATTTAAGTACCAAAAGTGTAATTAATTTTTTTTTTATCTTATGAAATTCCAATTCCTTCTAGCAAATATAAATAAATAAATAAAACTTCATTTAATTCATGCTTTAGCTATTTATTTATTTATTTTACCTTTCGCCTTATATTATTTTTGCAAAACGAGTGAAATACAAATAGCAAAAGTAATAAACAAAAGACACTTGTTCTCCCAAAAGTGAGGGCAAACAAGAATAAACCGGACAATAGTTGCCAAAAATACCAAATTTTCCATGCAAAAAAAGCTAAACAATTATCAAAGAGGCCACAAATGAAATTTTGACAAAGCAACAACATGATGCGACCCACACCGCATAGATGGTTAAGTTTACCTCATACTATGGATTTGCACTTCAAAAATGCAATTCCACAAGACTAATGGGCTTCAAAATTCATTAACAATTAAAAAATAATAATAAAACCATCTTAAATGTACAAACAACAAAAATTTGGGTGAAATAATGACATCCTAAAATAATGCTATGTCTACTTGTTTACTTTTCCTGGTTTCATCGGTTATCATCTTATCTTTTACCTGATTAGCAGTAGCAAAGGCTATATCTGTCTTATTATCCTCTTCCATCAGGGTCTTCTGGTGCAGTTCCAGCTTCAACCTTTTAATTTCATTGCCTTTCTCTTCTAGTTTCCCTTGCAAGATATACACCTGCAACACAATATGACCTAATTAAAAACTTGCCTTAAGCAATTATAACTGCTAAGAAATGACAAGGCCATCATGGCAAAATACTACAGTAATATGGCACAGCTCTAACTGAATATGAGCTACAGTAATGGCCAATGAAATACTCGAGATCCTTTTCATCTTAGCATTTGGTAAATGTAATAGACCATGAAACATCTAACTTGGTCGATGTTGTCATTTAACTATGCCTGCATCGGTTTAAGGGATGTGAATCCATTAGCTCTGTTGGATATTAAACTTAAATTTACTTAATGTCTCTAGCCATTCATGAACCTAGTTATTCATGAATCTAGTTATCTATGAACCTAGTTTTAAGAGTCATTTGAGTTTAATGTCTTGAGTTTAGAATCATCTTTTGAGTAGGATAAATAACTATGTAATCTACAAGTTTATGCAAGTTCTATCACATCCTAAGTGACTTTCATTTTTCCTTTTCGTCTGTGTAAATTTTGAGTGCTCACCACCTTAAGTAAGATCATCATCTTGCTAGGGTAGTTTGTGAGGTGGGTTGATGCGTAGCCACCATTCACGGATGTCTTTCACTACCTGAGGGTCGAATACATACAAGAGCAGATTTGGTCTTCAAGTAATGGTACCTTGCATTTCCTCCAACAGCATAATGTACTTATACTACAGATAACTAAATATTACAAAGATTATAAATTGAATAGTGATATACTCCAAATAAAATTCTTACAATTCTATTGAGTAGAATAGATGCCATCTGCTTAGTGATATTATCAAAATCAAGACTTCCAATTTTGTAGACAAAGATATAGTTTGTGGGGGATCCAGGAAAGTCGGTTGCTCAAGATATATTATCAAAATCATGTTGCCTATTTATGCCTTCTCATTATGGAAAGAATTTCCCAAAGTCAAAACCCCAGATGGCAGATGCAATATATAGTCAAACATGATCTAAAGTTCATTTTCCTTCCACAAATTCTTTTCTTTCCCACTCCGCAGCAGAGTTGGTAAGACATCACAATACAAAGAGGCTATAGAACTCAGAATGAGATCCTATTCTAGTATGTTTTAGCTTCTTCAATGCAAATGTCAATTATCATGAGTAGGCAAATAGGATTCATATGCAGGTAAATGATACTAATTTGCGTTAAAAAAAGAAAAAGTACAGCAGGAAATAGGACACCATAGTGCTCATCATGATTGTTATTTGGGATTATAGTGACATGGGAAGGTAGTTCCACTTCAACAAGGGCAATTTAGAACAGATGATCCTAAAATTGCAGATATTACTCAAAATACCCCCAGAGGATGCTAAATATCTAAAGTCAAATTTCCATCTGTGCCTCATTTGCTATATGGTATGTGATGATTGACTTCAATGAGAAAAGATTAAAGATGAGATAAAGATAAAAACCGTTTCATTTGATCTTTCTGCATCATTTGTCAGCCCCTCCATTTGTTTGTATAGTACTGCAAGCAACAAAATGATAATGATTAAAGATGGCATGTGAACCAAAAATTTTCAACCATGAAATAAAAATTGCAATTTAAAAATGGCAAAGGAAAGGACATAATCAAGTTGTCATTATAACTAGACAAGTTAAGAAATCTATAATCTGATTTATTCAACCCAAAATTTATAACATATTTAACTCAGACCTTCAAATTGACTTCTGAGTTCTGCATTCTGAGATTTATGTAATGCAAGTTTCATGGCCAATTCATGCATCTGCAGAGCACAGAGTCCAACAAAAATCAGTGAAATCATCATCACTAACAGTCCAAAGTCTCAATATATAATTGAATCATATTCAGCATTTTTTTGAGATGAAGGAAAAAAATAAAAATAAAAAAAAATAAAAAGAGGATACAAAGTCCATCATAATCATTATTGAAAGACATTTCTAATCTATTTTAGGATTCTTTAATGTTCAAAGAACAAAGATGTTTTTTTGATGCAGCTGAAAAGTTTCACAATCCATCCATACCCCACCCCCTAATTTTACATAGGGAAGATGCATGGTTACACATAAATTGGCATGCACCCAGAAAACAATGATACATAACTGTTATACCTTTCCTTCCTCTGCTTGAGTACCAATCTCCTCATTTTCCTCTTGCAAGGTTCTACACTTTGCCATCAGCATCTTTCCCATTTTGCTTTGTGGAGTAAAACTAACAGCAGCAATATTTTCCTGCAGCTCCTTAACCTTCTTGTCCTTTTCCTCAACCATATTCTAACAGAAGTACATTAGAAAACTATAAATAACTGATCTATAAGCGCAATGGATAAATTAAAAGCATGTATCTCCACATCCAAATTGTAGCATAATGACATTAAAATAACCCTGATTGGCTAATCTATAAAGGCAGAGCACAATCTAACAGCAGATTAAACTGATGGGCCTCAACTTTTTAACTCTTAAACTTATTGTATGATTACCACCCAGAAATGAGGAACAAGAGAAATTGGATATGCATGAAGTTTAAAAGCAGAAACATAAATGACAGCCTAATCAATTATAAACACCTGCCTAGTCAAAATTTCCAAACCATCCTAAAACCCAAAGCCATAAGATTTGTTACTAATAGTAATATTAGCATTGTCCTTTAATAACTTGTAATTCAATTCTCACCAGATAAACATGTCACTCACTTTATGCTTCCTCTCTCCCCAAATTCATCCCACCTCATTGAGAGAAGAATAGACATCCTCGCAATGCATATAATTAATAACAAAATAAGCAATGAGTTATCTGCACAAACCTTCAAACGTGTAAATTCCTCATGAATGGCAGGATCCAGTAGTAACCTTCTGGCCTGTCAAATAAACCACAAAGAAAACTAAACAGGTAGCAAGTTGCAAATACTATTTAGTTCCAGGCCTTGTAAGAAAAATGTTATTAAATCATGTCGGACAAATTTCCAATTAACTGAACAAAACATTTAGAATAAGAAAAGCAGATATTTGATGAAATCACACCATATAATTGGACAACAAAATTCTACACCGCAGAAAGTATTAGGAAATAGCTACAACAATTCACCTAAATACTGAGGCAGTGGATAGGAAATTTGGAATCATTAAGAAAACTTATAGTCAAAAGTCATATTCCCTTTTCCTATAAACACTGTCTTGTTTCCATAGCTATATCCTACCCAATTAGTCACATTTGAAAAGTGAGTAAGATTGTTCCACAAAAGTTTCCAAATTAACCTTCACTAGTTTTATACCTTTTCCAGGTCAAAATCAATAAATGTATGCAAAGTTGAGCACTCGATAAAAGTTCAAAACATTTTCTTAACAGTCCCCAAAATCAAACTGAAACTCTCTTTATGGGGCGGCAGGAGTGTTTAATAAAAAATTAGAACAACCACTGTAAACAGAAACACTGTCTTGTTTCCATAGCTATATCCTACCCAATTAGTCACATTTGAAAAGTGAGTAAGATTGTTCCACAAAAGTTTCCAAATTAACCTTCACTAGTTTTATACCTTTTCCAGGTCAAAATCAATAAATGTATGCAAAGTTGAGCACTCGATAAAAGTTCAAAACATTTTCTTAACAGTCCCCAAAATCAAACTGAAACTCTCTTTATGGGGCGGCAGGAGTGTTTAATAAAAAATTAGAACAACCACTGTAAACAGAAACACTGTCTTGTTTCCATAGCTATATCCTACCCAATTAGTCACATTTGAAAAGTGAGTAAGATTGTTCCACAAAAGTTTCCAAATTAACCGTCACTAGTTTTATACCTTTTCCAGGTCAAAATCAATAAATGTATGCAAAGTTGAGCACTCAATAAAGTTCAAAACATTTTCTTAACAGTCCCCAAAATCAAACTGAAACTCTCTTTATGGGGTGGCAGGAGTGTTTAATAAAAAATTAGAACAACCACTGTAAACAGAAACACTGTCTTGTTTCCATAGCTATATCCTACCCAATTAGTCACATTTGAAAAGTGAGTAAGATTGTTCCACAAAAGTTTCCAAATTAACCTTCACTAGTTTTATACCTTTTCCAGGTCAAAATCAATAAATGTATGCAAAGTTGAGCACTCGATAAAAGTTCAAAACATTTTCTTAACAGTCCCAAAATCAAACTGAAACTCTCTTTATGGGGCGGCAGGAGTGTTTAATAAAAAATTAGAACAACCACTGTAAACAGAAACACTGTCTTGTTTCCATAGCTATATCCTACCCAATTAGTCACATTTGAAAAGTGAGTAAGATTGTTCCACAAAAGTTTCCAAATTAACCGTCACTAGTTTTATACCTTTTCCAGGTCAAAATCAATAAATGTATGCAAAGTTGAGCACTCAATAAAAGTTCAAAACATTTTCTTAACAGTCCCCAAAATCAAACTGAAACTCTCTTTATGGGGCGGCAGGAGTGTTTAATAAAAAATTAGAACAACCACTGTAAACAGAAACACTGTCTTGTTTCCATAGCTATATCCTACCCAATTAGTCACATTTGAAAAGTGAGTAAGATTGTTCCACAAAAGTTTCCAAATTAACCTTCACTAGTTTTATACCTTTTCCAGGTCAAAATCAATAAATGTATGCAAAGTTGAGCACTCAAAAAAGTTCAAAACATTTTCTTAACAGTCCCCAAAATCAAACTGAAACTCTCTTTATGGGGCGGCAGGAGTGTTTAATAAAAAATTAGAACAACCACTGTAAACAGATTTAAGAAGAGAATAAAACTAGTGCAAAGAAAGGCATATATGGCACTACATATATAGCATTTACTTTACTTCTTAGAAAGATTCAAATTTCTTCAATAATAGAGTACCAAACACACGTCTAGAATCACCATTAACACGGTGCCATCAAATTTTTTCTTTTTGGATAAGTTACGGTACCATCTATTGAATCAGCTAGATATAATGACAATATCAAATTATTAATATGCATAAAATTTGGGCAAATGGTATATATAGGGATGGAAAAAGCCCTAAACATGATAGGTTCCAACCCGCCCCGACCTGATTTTTTTTAAGATGTAATTTAGTTTTAAAAAAATATTTCATGCAATGTATCTTAAAAGTAAATTATAATTATTAAATTTCAGGTTGGGAATTAAAATTCATAGCCCAAGGTCAAGGTGCGCCAGATTTGGGTGAAGATGTTATGAAGTCCGGTTAGGTTTGGGGCAGGCAAAAAACCATCTTCCCTGCCCTGTTTCCATTTAAGAAACACATTTTATACATTTTTCTTCTAGGTTGTCTTCAACCAAAAAAAAAAAAAGAAAAAAAAAAAAAAACTAAGAAGTTTATGATATCTAGAGCAATAGAAATAACTTTTTTCCCTTTTTTTTATAAAACAAGCAGTTTATATACCTGCATTGACGGTGGCTTCAGTTGCACTTTCAAGTCACGAACTACTGACTGGAAATTAAAAATGATTTTGGTCTTAGCTAGCCATACTATTAGACAATCATGTTCATATAATCATTGCATTAAGTAACTGGGCAAAATACTTTAGAAGAAAAGAATTAACCAAATAAAGGTTCAAGATGATTGTATAAAAGTAACAATAAATGGTCAAAGTGCCCTTGAAAGTTCTTCCAGAACTGTGAACTAGATAAGACATATAAGAAGGTCATGATAATCTCCATCCCAAGCTACAGCAACAAAAACTCCCAGAAAGGTGATCTTAAAGGATTGTATATAGAAGAGACAAGATGAATTATCACTCAAGTTAAAGGAACAAGAGTAAAAGTCCTCTCCAAGTTGAGAATTAACAAAAAACTATAAGCCATAGTGAAACATTAACAGTTACAAAATTAGAAACTATGCAGTTTTCTCAACAAAGTAGTCCAGTGGACATTTGAGATAACGGATACACCAGTAAGTCCTATGCTGCAGATTTTGAAGCTAAAGGATGAGCTTGAAGTAAAATGCAACTCAAGTTTTTTATGATCATCATGGCTGGTCATTCACATACTTTTTATTATCTTTCTAAAAAATCTCCTTCAAAAATTTATCTCATTCTTGCATATTCCACCACATAGAGAAGAAAATTGCATGCTAAACAATGTGAGATATAGATACATACTAAAAAGGGGGAAAAACACAAAAGAAAATGATGTCACCTTCAACTCAGCTATCTCCTGCTCACGCTTTGCAAATGTTACAATAAATGCAGCTTCTTTTTTCTTTGCTTTTTCTAGCTGGAAATAAGAACAAAATATGTATGAAATTCAGCATGACAAATAAGACAGGTTAATGCGGAAAAATACAGTGGAAACAAACAATAGCAAGCTCTTGCCTGTTCTTTCAGTGCTTCCTCAGAGGATTTCAGAGTTTGAAGATAATTTATTACTAACTTGGGTTCTACAGAAAAATGGTATAAAACAATTGCTTAATAAGGAAAGATAGATCACATAAAATTATCATAAACTTTAAAAGTACAAAAAAAGAAGAAAAAAAAAAAAACTTTGAATCGGACAGAAAATCAAGAGGTCTAAATATATGATGCATAAATAAGGAAAACACTGTTAAGAAAAGACTAACCAGGAGCTGTTCCAGATAGTATGAAGGGCTCATTCCAAAAGGCAGAGTGCCATTTCTGAATCTCTGATTTTGCAGCTTCAAGCTCCATCTAAAACAGAAAATATCACAAATAATCCAAAATTTTGAAATAAGAAAAGGAAAACGAAAGGGGTTAAAAATCAAAGTTTATGAATAACACTGCGAAAGCTCAAGCAGATGGCATTAAATTCTTTGACCATGAAATTTGTAGATTACAATAATTCTATTTCTGCATGTCTATATAATGTCATTTGAAAGTTTGAACCAACAGAAAGTGCTAATATGGAAATAATAGCTACTGTCCTAAAGACACCATTCCAAATCTATTTAAGAAACCTTTGAGCAAAACAAAAGGAACACAGTAAAGCATCCATAAACATTCCCAGGTGACTAGGAAGCATAAAAGTGCAACCAAAAGGTTAGAAAAATCTATGGGTAAACCATTTTCCACATAAAACTCTAATGTTATCTGTGAAGTAGACTTTTTGTTTTTTCTTGAACTCATACTATCTTAAATATTACCAAGAATTTGACTGTACAACATATACATAGATTAGACAAAGAAAGAGTCGAATGATATCAAATAATAGATGAATACATACTTGGCATGTTGCAAGGGTATCCTTACAAATCTGAAGACTGCAAAAGGCGGTAAAAATCACAACAAAAGGCAAAGTTAGGTCTAGTAGAAAATCAAAAACAAACAAGCAGGTACATAAACATAATAATCTGTTAGCTATATGTCATTCTGTGCTGTACACCTCTCACGAAGTGACAAAATCATCCCTGTTGCTACACCAGGGGTGGTTTCTTCTACCTTAGAGTTGCCCTGCAATACAAACAGATAAAACTCCTAAGATGATGATGATAATAATAATAAAAATAAATTTGTTTCTCCACAAAAGACTTCTCAAGCTTAAGTGATAAACGAGCAACAATTAAATGAGATAAGGATGTCAAATTAGAGCACTAGGGTTCCATGTTTAAAATTTCCTTGAATTCCAATGGGTCTAAGAAAACTAAAAAAATGCAAAGTTGCAGAGGCTAGTTAAAATGGTGAAATAACTATAACTACCTTTTTTGATCCAAAAATATCATCCTCAAGATCACCAAAGCTTCTTTTACTACCTGAATAAGTATTTCAACGAAAAAATTAATATAATCGATCATTTAAGCAAAGAATTTAACAAAAAAATTTTAAAAAATTATTGAGATTAACCTGAACGCCTGGTATTATGACTGCGGGGAAAATCACCGCCAAAATCGTCATCCTATTCCCCAAAACATCACAAATTTTCATTAAAAAGGAACTAAAAACCCTAAAATGGAAAAAGTTAGCACCATATTGTAATGAGAAAGATGCAACTTACATCGTCGAGATGCGTGTGAGAAGCCATGGGAAGCAGGTATTGGGGTGAGGGAGACAAAACCTTAGGAATTTGATTTTGAGTGAGAAAGAGGAGGGAGAAGCTAATTTTTAATGTGGGATGCAGTGAAGGGGGTAACCAGTTCGAAATTGGGAAGGAAGAAGCTGAGATCTCCTGGGAGCAGGTCGTTCAATTTTCAGTCTAAGGAAACCAATCCAAATGGCTGTTTAACATTGTGTACATCTTTATTAGGCCTGATTCTTTAATACTTAGCATGGGGAGCCTGCAATGGCACTGGATCACGTCAGATTTGGGTTTAGTTATATTGTGTTAAAATTTTTTTATTGAAAAAATTAAATTATTTTAAATTTGAATTATTTTGGACGTTATATGTTTTAGAATTAAAATTTTCGGATTTAGTATTTGATTTTTTTTTGGATTTGAATTATTTAATTGGAATCATTTATATTTAAATTATTAAATTTTAAAATTCAATTAGATTAATTTTAAATTATTTTAAATTAATTTTATGAATCACTTAAATTTAATTATTTTTTATAAATTTAAGGTGTCTTAGTTATTAATTTTTTATCAAATTAAATTTGATTAAATTCATATTTAAATGAATTTAATAAAATTTTCTCATTTGAGTGAGTATTACTAACTCTACAAGCTTACCGTAAGATAATATAAAGTTATAAATAGAATTAAAATAAATAATATCATCTTATCTTATATTTAATGTGTGTTAAGATTAAGAGTATGATAAGATTATTTTTATCTCTCATTTCTTTTATTACATGTAAAATTAATAATATAATAGAATGTAAAATTAATAGTATGATAGAATAACTTTTTTATCATTCAAAACTACTCTCTTTTAAAATAAAAATAATTTAAATTTATAGTCTTTTTATACAAGTATAATTCAAAATTTTTTAACTAAAAATTGATTCTTTATGATAATTTTTGTAGATGAGAATTAAATTTATTTTTTCTCAAATTTATCTTTAAATTATTTTAAAAACTATTTTTAAAATTTAATCTTTATCAAAAATATTTTTCATTATTTTTTCTTTTCATTTTCTTTCTTTTTAATATGTGTTCTTTTTTTAAACAATTTAAAATAATTTATATAATTGAGAGCTAAAATTACTTTTTTAAATAGTCTTTAAAAAAAATAGCTAATTTTTTTCAAAAAAAAATAAGTATCATATATATAATTTTATCTATTTTCTTTTATTTTTTTCTTTTATTCCCCCTCTAGACAAAAAAAAAAATAATAATAAAAGAAAGGAGAAAAGAGAGAACATGAAAGAAAATAAGAAAAAATGTAAAATTTAAATTTGTTAGTCCTGAATTGATCATTATTTTAAAATAACAAAATATAAAGCTAAATAAGCTTAAGATTTTAAAAAATTTATCTGATATATATTTTTAAGTTTCATTAATTTTTGTTACTAAATGAATAATATATTTTCAAAATGATATTTAAAATGAAAAATATTTTGAAAAAAGATTTTAAATTTTAAAAAAGGTTTTGTTTAGTACATGGTTCTCATTATGCCTTTCAAAATTGTTATTTCATTTGAAAAATATCTTGAAAAAATATTTTAAAATATTGGCCTTATTGTTTGTATAAAAAATACAAATTTTCAATATTAAGAATTATTTGTAAAATGCTTTTCAAAGTTTAAACAAACATTTCTTATGTTTTTATATTTTTCAAATAAAAATGTCTTCAAAAATTATTTATTTAAGTTTAAATGAATATCTAATTATTCCTTTTAAAGTGAATTTATTTATATTGGACCCCATAGAATTTTGATAATATTGGTTTAAGAAATAAACTAACTAAAGAAAATTGTTTTGTAAGAACAATGTTTTTCGACATTGATGTTAATTTATTTTCTATACTTATTTACAAAGTTTTATATTTAAATTATATGGTTGAAAAGATATTTGAATCTAGTTTCTAATGAACCTAATAAAATTGAAATCCAAATTTTATAAAAATAGATATTGAGTTTTTACTAGAGACAATGCAAGTTGTTTAACAACTGCGCAAGGTAGTTTTGGAAACACTATATACATTGAATCAGATGTTGAATTTTATATGCATAGAAAGTCCTTAAGTTTAGTAAATCTTTAAACTAATCTTGATTTGAATTTATATAATTCAAGATATGTTCAAATTAATAAGTAAAGTGTAGAACAAGGTTTAATTTAAGGTAGTCAACTACCCTATTCATTTAGAATTACTTCGAATGCAAAATCAACATGACCTAATCGATCCCCTATAAAAATGGATTGCTCCCCTAGCCTACAACAATCAAAATTTGAATGAAATTCTTGACTCGATCAATACCCTAATGGATCGAGTTGATCTTATTACTTTTGATAGATTTTAATGGCTAGTTTTCAAGAGATAAATGTCTCATTTATTCTCCAATTCAATCCCAATTACTATAATTCATTTTTCTCTATATAAAGAGGTCTTTCAACATCCATGCACATGATAGAAATATAGAAGAAAGTTCATAAAACCATATCTTTAAAATTCTCTTAAAAAATCAAGAGCAACAAAGAGTTTAGAGCTTAAATTTCATATTCTTTGTATATGTTGAATCCAAATCATTTAGTCTTTCATTTGTACTTCATTAGGCAAATATTAAACTTTTGGGAGGTGTCATTAGTTTGCAAAACATTAGAGTTTAATTATAATCAAGAGGTAAGATATCTCTTAGAATTTTTTTTAGAGTTTCTCTAAAAACTCATTTTAAGTGATTAAAGGTAACTACCATAACCTAGAAAAGTAAGGAATTAGAGTTGCTATCTTAGCATATAAAGATAGCGAGTGAGAAGTTGTACTTTAACCTTGAAAGGTAGTTTGTAAGAATTTTTAAAAATTAATGAATTTGGATTCTTAGCTAGGAAAGCTACAGAAATGATGTAGCTACCTTTGGAGAATGACCAAACCTTTATAAATATTTGTGTTTGATCTCTCTACTCTAATTTTTTTTATTTTTCATTGTTGTTTGTTTATGCTTTAATTTCATATATTTTTATTTTTTCATTTTAAATTTATTTAAAAATTATTTTTGGAAAAGAATTTAAAGACAATCCAATTCAACATATCTTGGATTGCTATCTACATTTGAGCTAATAATTAGTAACAGTGCTTAGATTCTTTTTTTTTATATAGGTTTAATAACCTTGAGTTAAAATCATATGGCTCAAAATAATTTTCAAGGTGTTGAGGAAATTCTCAAAGCTTCCAAAATTGAAAATTATGAGTTATGTGAATGGAATCGGAATAACCTCTTAACCAAATAGTTGTTTGAATTGAATTTAAATTTTGGTTACATTTTTTTTTTTTGTGCTTTATATGCTGTCTAACATTTCTTGAGCTTAATTAATATATGTTGATTATGACTATATGATTTTGGGATGATACATGTTATAAATTGCATAGTCTTGAAGGAAGTATGTTCTTATCATGTTATTGAATGTTTGATGGCATTGATATAAATATATTTTCATGCTTGTTGAAATTTATTTTGGTGCTTATTTCCTTTAGATATATTTATATTTCATTTTTATGAAAGTATAAGTGTCAGCATTGTCATTGCTCTTAAAGGATTCATATTAACAAGTTGATATGCTTGATGAATTTGATTTTATATTGAATATATATTTATGCTCATGAGCATTAGCATAAGTACACCTTTGTATGTGAATGCTTGATATTAAAAACTTGACATGCTTAATGCAATTGTTTTGTACTTGTTTGTTTGAATTGTGTTTATGCCCAAACTTAGGGCAAGCATCCAAAGTTTAATAATATTTTAGACTTTAGGTTTTGCTTTGAAAATTAGTTTTGCAAAAGTCAAGTATTTAAAATGTGAAAATTTGTTTTAGAAAGTTTTGAAGTGCAAAATAAATTTCAATATCTTGAGTTTAATGATTTAAACATGTTGAAATAAAGAGACTTGATAACTTGTAATAGTTTTAATTTTTGAAGTGTTAAATGCAAGTTTAAAGGATTTTTAGAGCTTTAAAGATCAATTTTTGAGCAAACATGGGCGTAAAAACCATTTAGACAATTTAAAATTGTGTAATCAAATTTTTCAAAATGATTTAATGAGCTTAAATATGAGTTTAAACATATTTTTCCATCTTAATGATCTTTTTTAAGAAAATATGGAGTTTAAAAGTTGACTTTTTAATTTCCTTGTTTCTAAGGGAAAATGATCCCTTAAACAATTTTGTTTTGTCATTTGAAAATTTTTGGAATAGTTCAAGATAGTTAAAAACAAGCTTGACTAGTTATATGATTTTTGAAGGTCCTTTTTAAGTAAAAATGAGTTTTAAAGTGTTAAAAATGAAAATCTAAAAAAAAATTAAGTTTTGAATGGTTTATCCAACTTGGTTATGCATAAATGAGTTTGGATGAGTAAGCTTAAGTTTCATGAATATGATTTTCATGGCCTTAATACATTTGTATGTTATTTATTGATGTTTGAATGGTATGAGGCATAAAAAAGCTTGCTTTTAAAATTTGTTTATATTGCAAATGTTTTATAACTCAAACAAGTTATCTTATATGAAAAATGTTTACAAAGTTGTTTTTAACGTCATTTGAATGAAAGTAAAAAAGATTTGATATTTCAGGGGTGTTTATGGAATAATTCATTGCAGATGGGGTTTAGACCATTAGAAGATTGAAACATATGCATTTGTTGAGAATTTGTGTTTTTGTCATCCTATATTGAGAAGATGACTAATCCTTTTTGTAATCCAATCTTTTTTTTAGTATGTAACTAGTTAAATGAAAAGATTTTTTTTTTTTTAGAATTCGAAGTTTAATTCAGTTGATTTATACACATACTCTTAAAAGATGATATCTAATAGGTATAAAATTCAAATTTTAGTGCCTGTAATCTATTTTTCTATCCCAATATTGCAACATCCATTATACTAATAAATTAGTATATGTAAGGCCTTTGAATCTAAATCCAGTCCATCCTGATTTCAATTTAATTTTTTTTCCATTTTTCATAAGAAAAGATCATGTGGTTTGGTTTAAGCTTTTCATTTACAAATAAAACCAAAATTTCAGTTGCTTTCACTTAATCAAACCACATTATTAATATGTTTTATTAATTTAATTATTCAGCATTAATAAAATGCCCACACTTTGTCTAGTTTATCATTATTGTTATAGTTGGGAAAAGTTTGGTTTGAAAAAAGAATGATTAAAAAATGCTATA